GTGAAGCTGTAATTACAGTTAAATGTTTACTTCTCTCCTCTTTATGAAATGATAAGATTATACGTTAAGTATAATAAATTGTTATTTTGCTGTATTTGTTAGTTTTCGCATATTCGCGCAAACATATACCGAGGGTAATTTGTGCTAGCCCTGATTTGGAACTGATAAGAGTACAGTGAAGGCAACTAGTCAGTAGCATCTACCGACAACTCTTGGCGTACTCTTGTCTGATCGAGTAGTGGAATTTATAACACACCATAACCCAAAAGTGCGAAGCGAGTTTTTTTCCATAACGTGACGCTAACTATTGAACCATACTCGGTCCTATTTCATGGGCGTCCGAGGGGGCGTCAAGAGGGGCTACTTGCCCCCTGGATAATAAGAAACTTAATTCTTTTTTATTCATCCGGCATATTTTTTATTCAGATCACAATTTCACACTATTTTGCCTCTCCTTGGAAAAATTCCTGCGGACGCCCATGTCCTATTTTATTATATATTTGAAAGTTTAGGGAATCGAGCCTTTTTTGAAATAATTAATTCATAAGAGTAGATTTTATTATTATTATTACAGAAAATCACATGAAATGGGGGTCGACCAGCCTTAATATTTATGTTTCTACCTTGTTAATGTATTTATTTTTCTCTTTTGATCAAAACTGTTGTTAACCCCCTTGAACCTTGTGTATTTCAGCAGTTATTATTTACAACAAGCAGGGACCCGTTAAAACATTTACGATCGAATTGGTATCTTTATTGCAAAAGTACTTCTTTAAATACTGGATTTCTAGAATAATACAAAAGAATTTTAATCGCAGACACCAAAATCTATAACTTCACTTGTCATAGACCAGTGTTTTCCAACAGGTGGTTCGCGAATCCTTAGGGGTTCGAGAGATAATTCTGAGGGGTTCGCGAGAATAATTTGGTAATGGGGTCTTTTTTCACTTTCCTGGTTCTACAATTCTTACCAATATTTTAATTTCTTTCTAATTTATTAAAATATGTACGGTAGGAAATAGTTTGATGCAGAACAAAATATAAAACTATCTCTCCCTCTCTTCTATTGAGCCGAACTTTAAAGCACCGTGTTCTTCAAAACAAGCTGAGAATTATGATCAGTTTTAGTTTCCAATTTTTTTTATTATGTTTCAAGAATTCTGTTTCAATTATACTGGGTACTAACTGCAAACTGATGACAGTATCGGAGATTCAGATTTTATTCTAAACGTGTTCCTACTATGTGTTACAGAAACGTATTTTTTTTTGTTTTTTTACAAAATTTATTACTGCTTAAAAGGGGTTCGCCGCGAAAACTATTATTACTTAAGGAGTTCGCGAAGATAAAAAAAAAAGGTTGGGAACAGCTGTCTTATACCTAACATTAGTTAAGCCTTTATTAATTACGGTCTGAATTCGATAAAAATATAAATTAACACTGTAACTTGTGTACGTTTCTTGGTTTAGTTTAGTTAGGGCTAAACTTTACCATATTTAATACTATCAATAAATAAACTTATAATATTATTCTATGACCTGACGTTAGACCGTTTTAAAAGCTTTGATGAGCTTTTTAATATGTTGTATAAAATATCTACTAAAGTATAGTTACATCCACTTTTTGTTGAAATGAAATGCGCGCGCATTTTCAAACAGACAAATATTATAACAGATTGACAGTATTGTTTAATAAAACTAAATAAAAGTACAACATATCTATTTATATAAAACGATAAATGCACAATATTGCTTCAAGTGGAAAAATGTTTAGAATATTAGAACTTATAGAGTAGTTTATAATATTACCTTCAAGCCAGCTACTTGCATGTATTAAAACTAGTAAAAAGTGTAGCTAATTATTATACATACTGTTCAAAATACCTTACTTATAATGTTCGAAATGTTTCTATAAGGACTCTCTATGATTAGTCATAGTTTCATTATATTAATTGAAAAGCATAATGCGAAACAAACCGACTTAATTTGCACATTGAGTAATATAATTGAACTATAAAATACATGCTTCACCTCTTACATATTTGTAATGTCTTTCCAGCAGTGATGCTGAAGAACGAAATGTTTTAGTTTAATGCCATAACAAGACTCAAGCATTTCGATTTCTTCTGCGTCGTTGTCTTCTGACAAAATTGTTGATACTCGTAGCTTCTTTTTTTTTTTGGGCGGGGGGGGGGGAGAAAGTACAAGAGTAAACTATGTACTTATACAAGGTTAAAATACACAGCAGTTGCTCAGTTCTCTGATATCAAAAGAACAGCAGTGACACAAACTTGTATGTTTACTTAACGTGCTGTTTAAAAGAAACGTGAACTCGCCGTGGTGATGTGTCACTTTAACTCCTTTCGCTGCTATAAATACCCGTATGTAGTGTGTGAGTAGATGCTTTAATTAGTTTAGCTGGAATTATATTATTGGAAATTGCTTTCAGACTAATTTTTTAACGCTGGAACATTCGAATATAGTTTTTAATATGTTTTTTTTTTCTTCTAAGAATGTATAACTTTACTGTAGAAATGAACGTCTTGTTTCTTTCCTTGATGCCCTGACGAAGGCTACGCTCAGCACCTCCTAGCCACATCGCTGTCCCGTCATCTCTGTTGTTATTGGCAACGATATTACAGCGTGTGGACTAAATTTAAACGATCTCCGAAAATTTTTTGGTTCTCGTGAAGTGCAGAGCATATTCTTGTTTTTTTTTAATTCATGTTTTCGTTGGCGATGATAAAATATAAGAAGTTTTCAGCCGACCCTTATGGTTTCACAAACACTGGGAGGTTATATTACTAATGGAAAGATACACATGGTATAGTTACATTTTTTGTTTTATTTTTACGTAAATGGAATAGTCACACGTGTTTTCTGTAGAATGTGTCCTAGCGAATAGGTTATCGCTATATAGTAAATTGAGTTTGTAATTTGTCTACCTTAAACCACATGTCCCCTTAAAAGAAATTCCATCCAGTAATCTTTCTCTTTTTCCTGTGTACATCCATCAGCCATTTTCCTTAAAGCTCCTGGAATTTAAGTTAAACTAATGTCATATACACTGGTAACATTTCGCTTTGACACACTGTACAGAAATATACTCAGAAAAAGCAGTTAAACGCTTCTGCATAATCTGAATTTATCACATGGTGTTATCAAAAGCGCTATCCTGTATTCGCTTAGATGTATACTTTATAAATCCATTTTGTAAACCGAAATACAAACTTTTCTCATACTATTCATCACAATCACACACTTCTCCAAGAAAGGTAATGAGAGAAAAAACTTTCAGACAAACTAACTAACAATTGATATAATAACACAATAAACAATACACACAAACACACCTATATGTATATAGTATATTAAATTTGTTATTTTGGTTGAACAGCAGTTATCTTCTTAACGTCCGAAGAAATTTCAAAATGGCCATACAAATTTTTTTTAAGGTAGTAAAAATAGAAAAATTTAGCAAACAATTATTTTAAGAGAGTACTTATTATGTGACCTACTATGCACAGATTACATAAAGCGATTACTATACACCAATATGATCATAAGAACTTACGTTTGTAATAAAAACTTCATTGTTACTGAAACAAAACAATTATTTATAGAATCCTGTCACTAGATATGTAGGCAAGAATTGTTTATAACATAACATATGGACAACAAAGGATAGTTTGGTCTTCCTACACTGTTCCTTCATACCCACCGTAGAGAAAAATAAACATTTAAACCTAACCTTTACTTTTTTAAGAAATCATCGATTTTTTTCTTAAACGCCTATAATTTACTGGCCTCTACTGTTCGTTGCATAAGTTAAGTTAATCATCCTGTTATAAAAATAAAACTGTTTTAACAGGAATCTAGCCTGTCCTCTCGTCCTATTAAGTATCTTCATAATATAGCACAAAGAAGTATTAAGACCTTTATTTTATCGATCACCCGAATAATCTTGTAAACTGTTATAAGATCACCTCTCAAATATTTCTTTTCTCAAGAGAAAATAAGTTCAAGATATGTTAACTCATCCTTCGCAGGAATCATCGTAATGGCTCTCCTCTGAACCTTTTCCAATAAGTTAGTATCGTTTTTAAATAAGAAGAACAAAACTGTACATGGTATTCCAAGTGATTTGTATACAGATATACTTTCCTATTTTGACTTTTAATCAGTATGTCTAGAAATAAACTATAAAACTTTATAAGCTTTACCACTAGCAATAGCGCTTGAGTGACTTATCTACCACTATAGAATTATTTCATTGGATTATATAGGCGAGAATTGTTTATATAATTATTCCATTGGTTTATATAGGCAGGAATTGTTTATAGAATTAATTCATTGGTTTATATAGACAAGAATTGTTTATAGAATTATTTCATTGGGCAGGTATATAGACGAGAATTGTTCATAGGATTATTTCATTGGTTTATATAGGCGAGAACTGTTTATAGAATTATTTCATTGGTTTATATAGGCGAGAACTGTTTATAGAATTATTTCATTGGGCAGGTATACAAGTGAGAATTTATGAAATTATTTCATTAGGCAGGTATAAGACAAAATTTATTTATAAACTTATTTTACTGAGCAAATATATAGACAAGAAATATCTATTTTTGTATAATTACTCCATTGGGTAGATATTCGAGAATTGTTTTCAGAATTATTGCACTGGGTAAATAGGCGCCAACTGTACTATCTGGACATGATGGCCCAAACAGTAATCTGATTTGTGTGTATGTTTTTTTATGTCATGTAATAGCTAGTTATATTTGTAAGTTCTATTAGTGTAAAAAAAAAAATTTTGCAAAAACCAGTATGTCCTTATTAAAACCTACAGATAAAAGCCTTACATTATGGAGTAATCTATCAAGTCAAAAACCGAAAATGTGTATTTTAAATAGCAACAAATGCTTAAAATACATTCTTTTTCTCATTTGTGTAGTGTCGATCTATATGTTAACTTCTTTTTTTTTCTTTACCTTCAGGGGTGTTTCAGTTAGATCCTCTTCCAACAGAGGATCCAGATCCATCGTCCGCCCCAGTGTTTGTGGAGGAACCAGAAGATACGTTCGTAGTGAGAAACAAACCTGCTATCCTCCACTGTAAGGCCCGATATGCCCTCTGGGTGTATTTTAAGTGTAACGATGAATCGGCTCATAGACGTCAACATAGTCACCAGCAGTTTGTGGATCCCATGAACGGGGTAAGACAAGTCGAAGTTTCGGTAGACATCTCTTGGAAGGAAGTGGAGAATTATGAAGAAACAAACAAATATGGCTGTGTATGCTTTGCGTGGTCATCATCTGGCGAGATAAAAAGCAGACGAGCAGTTGTTACCATTGCTTGTAAGTCACCAAAAATATCATACGAAGTGAATATAGTTTATTTTTCTAACGTATGCTTAGTATAAGCATACATAGTGTAAGAATTATTGGTTAACGTAGCAATAAACACTAAATTATATATTTAGACGCATACAAACGCAGTCATAATCCAATGTATATATTTAAACATTAGATTCCTCAAAGCAACCAAATGTACCTTCATAAGAAGGTGAGAGACCATGATTTAGGGCTGTTTTGGTAAAGAGATCATGGGACATTTATAGAATTGGAAGTTAAATGTATGAATAAAATTGATACAATACTCTACAAAAACTGTCGTGCCCTTTAGTGTTAGTCTTATTAACCAAGGTTTCATTTTTCAATAAAATAATGATCTGAAGCATACAGTTAAACTATACCGAAGTTATACTGAAGGCAAAAAAACAACAAGATGTTCTCAAAAACATGGTTTAGCCATCATAGTCACAGACTTTTCATCTACTGAACTCGTTTGGGACGAAATTGACAGACACATGGAAACGCATGACGACACATAATGCAACACAACTGTTGTAATATTTTCCTGTAGTTTGGAATACTCTAACTCCTGAATATTTTCTGAATACTATCAGTTAGTGTACCAAACATACAAAGCTAATATTAAGAACATATTTGAGCGAAAATAATTAGTTTATGGTACATTTGTACGTCTTCAATTATATAATTTATTCTTTATAGCTATTATAACCAATAACTTGATAACAAGTGGGGATATTTTATTTTTATGTGCGAAAATCTATCTGCATCCAAACGTGTTAGACCCGGCATGTCCAGATGGTTAGGGCGCTCGACTCGCAATTTGAGGGTTGCGGGTTCGAATCCCCGTCCCACCAAACATGTTCGCCCTTTCAGCCGTTGGGATGTTATAATGTGACGTTGGTAAAAGTATAGTCCAAGAGTTGGCGGAGGGTGGTGATGTCTAGGTGCCTTCCCTTTGGTCTTACACTGCTAAATTAGGGACAGCTAGCGCAGATAGCCCTCGTGTAGCTTTGCGCGAAATTCAAAACAAACAAACCAAACTTCTTAACAGTGACGCATATTGTGATAATATATTCTCTAGCATGACGTTATTGTCACAATTAACCCTACAGGAAAATCATACTTAGTTGATATCAGGATCCTCAGGATCACAAATATTTTAATACAAAGATAGGTCAAATATTATTTTGATACATACATACAACACAGGTTTAAATAAGATCAGTTAGTGCAGTAATAAATAACCTTTGACTTTTTTTTAGAAATAACTTATACAGGAACATTATATTATTTTATACTATAAGAGGGACGCGTGGTTGGTTGATTGGTTGATTTTTGGGGTTTAATTGACCAAAACAACATTTTGAAATAATTTCTCCTTAGCACTTGTTTCTTTAGTCTTACTTTTGATAATTTTTTGGACACATGGTTGGTTGATTGGTTGATTTTTGGGGTTTAATGGACCAAAACAACATTTTGAAATAATTTCTCCTAAGCACTTGTTTCTTTAGTCTTACTTTGATAATTTTTTAATGATTTTTCTGACTTGCGTCTCCTTCCCTTAACTTTATTGTCATAAACTTTGAATTATTAAACAGATAAGGTTCACTAACATTCAGTGTGATTTAGTGAATGAAACTCGTTTATCCTTGTTTGAGTAACTGCGATTTCTTTCAACTTTTGAGGGATTGGAAACAAAGGATAGGTTTACCCCTTTTTTCGAACGAATGTCATTCGTTCATTACAAATTAGCTATCTCAACAGAAGTCCCTTCTATTACTTTACATTAATCATTCCATACAGACGAGATACGTGCAAGACGACCAGATATCTAAGGTAGCTCTATTGAAATTATTTAACGTCAAATAATATCGGTTGGGATTGACTTCCATCAACGGGGATCGGATTTTTAAAAGAAGTTTCTCATTCAGTAAATTTTCAAGATGGCGAAGTTAAGAAATAGTAAAATTACCTCTTAACTTGACATTCTCTGTAGTATTTGTAAATGTCGAGGTTGTTAATGTTTTTAATAAACTTGCTTGTTAGCTTCACTTACGTTTACTTGGACTTTTTTATTCTTTAGACAATGAGAAAGAGGCTGTTATGATATGGGTAGGAAGAAGCTCATGAACAGAGCTTATAGTTCTATATAAATAAAATAAACGATCCTCCAGAGCTAGAGAAGCCTAATTTATCCCTGCAATACCTATCAATGTTCGACTTTATTCTTTAGTTTTGTTAAGTTGGGGAATTCTTTTCAGTGTTTACTCATCCTCCGCTATGTTGATTAAACACAATTTACTCATCAGGAAACGACGAAGATCGGAGCCAGAAGTGCTACCTGTTCACCTTTCTAATCCTTGTATTGAGCCCTCTTAAGTCCTTTTGTCAGCTTCGCCCTGGGCATGCTAAAGGCTACATTCTTTTCATCTTATTAATTGTTGCTCCAATTTACTGCCATTGCGACGTGTCACTTGGGCTCCTCAAGCACACAGCAGCTTCCCACCAGGGGGAAAAGAGTTATCGGCCATTGATTCTTGAAGGAAAAGGCTATTCTGTGCCAAAGCTTATCTCGATCAGTGTAAGAAGGAAAAAATGAAGGATAGGACTAGGCGTAGCTGGTGACTGTGACCACAGTGATTTTATTTCGTGATTTTCATGAAACAAAAAATTATTTTCACATGAAAAGTTTTAATCACTTCGCTAAGAAAAAAAATTACAATATTCTATTCCTCAAGGTACCGTTAGGCTATGTCTCGCATCAATAACTATCCGCTTCTTATTTAAAATAACCTCGCTTACATTTTGTATTTGAACAGTTACTGGTGTCGTGCTTTTTTTTGTTTATTTTATTCGTTTTAATTTTTACTGCTTCTAGAAGCTAAGCAACTTGCCCATAAAGGAAGTCAATATGTTATTGAAATTACGTTAATCAGTTTTCGCAAGATCCTAGAACTTAAACTCCATATTATTATTGTAATAAATTTTTAAAGGAATTTTCTTCTTTTTTTTACACGCAACAGATAAATTTATTCGATCGAATATCAGGATATAGTCTACATTATGCGCGTTTCCGTGAATCTTCTTTTATCATCCTCTTTCACAAGAAAAAAAAATTAATGATAAAATCGATTTCTTTTTTATTTTTTTATTTTTTCTTGTCAGTGTTCTATTTCATTATAAGCCTTGTTAGTTTCCATTTACTTTAGGCCGCGTCTTATCATGAAATACGTATATTGAAACGGACAAAATGAAATGTAGTTTAAGAGCCACAATACATAAGAATGTGCAAACAAAAAATTGAAACGAAAAAAAAAATAATTTTACCAACTATGAGTGTCAAGGAGCGGTGTATTTTTTGAATATTTGATTACTTATTTAAAGTTCCAATGAAAATAGTTTTTTAAAAGAAAGCGCTGACTGTTCATACATAAAACCAAAACATTGTTTGTTTGTCTCTGTTGTAAGATTGTAGTTTAACATTGTTTTTTTTTTTGCTTTGTTTTTTGAAGAACTGATTTATAACGTGATTGGTTTAAAACATTGAGCTTTCGAACTGCATACACACTTAAAACGTGATGAGTGTAAAAGAACACTTCGCAGTAAATCACCAGAACGGGTATATACCTATTTCTAAAATGTGAAATACAAGCCAGTAGTATTTTCTTTTTACATTGGAACATTAGTGTTTTAATTAACCTGAAGTGTTTCTTACCATAAACCGGTTTGGTTTGTTTGTTGTTTTTGTTGTTTTTTTTTTGTTTTTTTTTTCTTTTGCTGTTGATGCAAAATTTAAATCAAATACTAAATTCTTCATATACGTTTTTGGTGACAACATATTGTTTTTACATCATTTAAAAATATATACATACAGGAATAAAAGACATATGCTTTTCGGCTCGAAAGATTTTTATTAAAAGCATTGTACGAATAGGAATTAGAATTAGACTAAAACCATTACGGTAACTTCGTATTAATGTGATTACGTAAGAAATCATTATAATCAACATAAGTAACAGCAACTTAACTTTTATATTTCGTCAATAAAAAGTAATATTGCCTTCGTTCATATTTTCAACTGCAGGGGGTTCTGTTGTAGTTTCAGCCTATAAGGGATAGTTTGCATGTTTGTTAAATTTCACGGAAAGCTGTAAATAAGGGCTTTCTGCGTTAGCCTTACCTTATTTTAAAGTAATAAATTAGAGGGAAGGCAGCTAGTCAACAGCCAGCTTTTGGACTACTCTTTACCAACAAATAATATGATTGACCGTCACATTCTAACGCCCCACGCGTGCATGTTCGGAGACGAGATTCGAACACGTGACCTGCAGATTGAGAGTCGAATGCCCTAATCAGGCCATGCCAAGCTCGGACTGTTGTAATGTAAGGGATAATATGAATCATAAAATAGCAGTTCGCTCTTCGAATTGGTGCATGTTGAAAACTATGTGTGCATCCTTCACAGTAGGCGTGTTAACTGACATAGTATTTGTAATCTCCATAATACAAGTTTGCAAGTTTTTCGCACTATATACAATTTTTCGTTAGTTAGGCTTACTATGATTAATGTTTTTATGGGCTATTAGTTGACTAATCATCCATATCTCCAGCTGCTGCCCCCTCACATTTACCCCCTCGTTCAAACTATTACTCCTGCACGTCTTGCCACTCGCCAGCATCAAGTCCATCAACGATCAGTTTGATGAAAGAAATATTTATAAGTTAAGTCATTAGCTCATCGGTTCTTATAGACTGTCGGTGCGTTATGCTACACAGCACCAACAGCAACAACTCAGCTTGCCATTTTTATCTTTGCTGCCTTTTTCTCAGGAGTTACTTCTCAAAATAATGAAGTATGAAAGTTTCTTCTCTCATTTCAGCTGCATCTTAGGCATACATAAAAAGTTAAAAGGCAGGATATTTGCTGAAATAAAAAATAAGCAAGGAATGCAGTTTTTAGAATAAAATAATAGGTATGTTTT